CTATCCCTGCCAGCTCTGGGGCTATCCCAGCCAGCTCTGGGGCTATCCCTGCCAGCTCTGGGGCTATCCCTGTCATCAAAAGGCTATCCCTGCCAGCTCTGGGGCTATCCCTGCCAACTCTGGGGCTATCCCAGCCAGCTCTGGGGCTATCCCTGCCAGCTCTGGGGCTATCCCTGCCAGCTCTGGGGCTATCCCTGCCAGCTCTGGGGCTATCCCTGCCAACTCTGGGGCTATCCCAGCCAGCTCTGGGGCTATCCCTGCCAGCTCTGGGGCTATCCCTGCCAGCTCTGGGGCTATCCCTGCCAGCCAGCAGAAATGTATAATTTAATACCAATATTTTGCAATTATACCAGCTTTAGTTTTATATCTGACATGTTGATTCTGTATTGTAGCTATCCATGTTAAAAAGTTTTGAAATATTTGTAAAATATAAAAACTTATTTTTCTTTTATACACACACAATTAAGTTAGACAATACATTGCATATCTGTGAATCAACAGCCAAGGAGGTGTATTCAGTTTGTAAAAAAAAACCTGAAACTGCTTTGAAACGACTTTTGTGGGTACACATTCAGAAATAAAAAAAATATCAGTTTACGTTTGCTTTAAATCATCTGTATATAATTAATTTAATCCCTGTTGGATGTAATATTTCGGATTTCATCTGAACCAATTAACTACCCTGTCTGATTTGTCTACAATAAGGCAACATTTATTAATGTACACCAACTTGTGGCCATATTAACTTTCTTGAATATTTCTTCTCAGCAGTCACCTAGGAGACCAAACTTGATTTTTGGAATTCCATTTTGACTCCCTACAAAATATGGGGATGCTTTGCTGTTTATATGTGCTTATGTTGTGATGAAACTGTCTACTTTTTTTTATCTAGCTACTTGCAGTGAATCCTTCTGACAGGATATCATCATTAGAACAACTAAAACAACACCCGTATATGTCATGTATGGATTTTGATGCTATATATAGAATGGAAGTAACACCAACTTTTGTACCTGCTGTAAGTTAACTATTTATTGTCATGGTAACATACACCAGAATCTATCATTTGCTTTGTTTTTTATCATCACTGAGGGCGCTATTTGACAGAATCTTTATCGTTGAATGAAATTAATAATGGAAAGAAAATAAATATCTTGATTTTCAAATACAAGATTGATTGTAAACTATAGTCAAACAGAAAACAATAATTGCTTGTTTACATGAATGTTAATGACGATCGATGGATGTTACTTTTTATTAAAAGAGAAATTTGAAAATAATATGGTACATTTTCTTTTTTACTTGATAGAAAGATCATTTGAATTGTGATCCAACATTTGAATTGGAAGAAATGATTATCGAAGCTAAACCATTACATAAGAAAAAAAAGCGGCTAGCAAAACAAGGATCAAAAACTGGTAAAGATGTCAAAGTAAGTAGCTTGCCGTAACTATAGTAACATAATTTATTTGCAGTAACAAAAACAGTTTTTTAGCTCCGCTGTTGACTTTGTAAAGCGGAGCTTGTCATATGAGTGATTGTCCATAGTCTGTTGTCAACTGTTTACATTTTTGTCTTCTTCTTCAAAACCGTTAAAGCAAATGCTTTCATATTTGCAACATAGATTCTTAGTCCTCTCACAGATTTGTTCATTTTGTGATATCTTCAATTCTTTAATTTTGATGAATATTTTTGTCATTTTTGGTAAAACGTGCTATTTTTGAAATCTTGTTGAAAACAGCAAGTCCCATTACATTGATACTATACATATTGTTCATTTTCTGATATCTTCTGTTCTTTAATTGAAATGTGCATTGCTAACAGCGGAGCTATCTCAGCAGAGATATGCTGCAATTGAAAATAAAGGTTTTGCATGAATTAATGTTTTCAGATGGATCAAAGATATACCAGGTCATTCTGGCTTAGTATTACAAATTATTATATCAAAAAAAAGGTATTTCTTAATGACTTATAATGGTTCTCCTATTGGTTTTAACAGATGAGTAGGCAGGCAAGTCAGTTTGATTGCTTACAATACAGGCTAAAAAAGAAGCAGAAATGAAAGGTTTTACATGTATACTTTGAAATATTCAAATGTCTTTCTCAATTTTTACAGGATATTAATGATCCAATGCAAATCTGCCTTGAAAACATTAATGCTGAGTTCAAGGTATATAACAGAGACCGGTAAGATGTGAATTAATTGTTGTGTTTGTTTGTTTGTTTGTTTGTTTGTTTGTTTGTTTGTTTGTATTGTTATACTTCCTTTAGAGGCTATTCTTGCAATGTGTTCATTTATCTGAGCAAGTAATAGTGTCTAATTGACACGCCATCACAAGTTTACATAGTCTAGT